GATGAAGGAATTCAGCAGCAAGAAATAGTACAGCACCATGATGAAGAAGTTGCCCACCGGCGACTTGACAGCTGTCGAGCCGCCGTCGTACAGATACCACGCCGCCTTGTGTCGGTCTTTGTCCAGATACTGCGCGTTCCAGACCGTCGACAAGATGGCGCCCGTCAAGCACAGCACCACCATAAGCACACAGATGTACAGGATCTGCTTGTTAAGTCGACGTTCCATGTTGCTCCACTTTATGGGTTCAGAAGACGACGCCATCATGATCTTCGTATCCGGTCCAGTGTTCACGACCAGTCCGTAGATATACTCCGTGTTGCGTAGAGTGGAGCCTCGTAGCACGATGGCGTTGGTCGTAATGACCTCCTTCTTCCCTCCTTTTAGTGTCATGGAGCCACTGAAGCGGTGGATCGAGTTATTCGGCGTCTCGCACACCAGCGTTCCCTTTATGTCCCCCACGGCTGCGTCGCTTAGTAGCGCTGTGTATGTGCCTTCCAGGCCTTGTCGGAGCTTCAGATTCGTCTCTCCATCCAGCGATTTGGTCTCCACGTAGCAGATACCCGCGGGGTTTAGCGGATCTGGCTCACAGGCGCCCAGAATCACCAGATCCGCCGGCACGGGGTCTCGATTGGCCACTTTTACGACATCTCCGACCTGTAAAGTATGCCATTTGGCAGGTTCGAACGCTTTCGCGTCTCGTTGGAACCTCAGACAGGGCAAATTATTGGCAATATGGTCTGCTTTGTGGCGCTTGTAGTCCTCGAGACAGGCGAAGAACATATCGATGAGCACGATAATCGATAGAGCAGGTAAAGAAGCCGGGAAGCCCCCCGTGTTGGAGATGGGCTTGATGGTCTGCATGATGGAAATGACTAGGAAATACGCATTCGCCAGCTTGCTGAACTCGTAGAAGAGCAGTTTGGGCAGGAAATTGTAGACGGTGAAGCGACTGGTGATCACCAGATTCGAGCAATAGTTAAGCGCCGTGTTCTTCTCGAGAGCGTTCAGATACACGTAGCGGTAGTCCCGGTCGTCGATGTCCTCAGCCTCCTCTCGCTTCGTGTCCTCCTGGATCTGACTCAGCTCGGCCACATCGTCCACGTGGACGTCCACCACGTTGCTGCCCAAGATGCTGTCGGCCTCGATCTCGTCCCGGAGAGGCGAGGGCTGCGCCAGTAGCGCGTAGGGCGCCGTGGGCGTGCCGCCATCTCCGTCCCTGCTTGAAGGCATGTGCGTAGCGAGCGGAGACGAATGGAGAGTGGCGATAGGCAGAGGGATAGCACGCCGCAGAGCAGATGGCTTGTGTCTGGTTGTTGGTTGTTGCTGTTGTCTTTTGAGACTGATCAGAGAAGCCATTTTGGGAATTTTTGCATCTCGTTTGGTGCATAAATGCGACAGAACAGGAATGATACCCTGTTAAAGAAATGATTTGAGTAAAAGGGGAAGAAGGAAATTGTTGGCAAAATAAAATCATCTAAACTAAATATCCTACTTATGTAAATATTGATGTAGGTTCCATGCTGTTGAGGGGGGGATGTCAATCTGAGCTGTGGTCTTGACCATTACGAGTCGTTTTTTACTGAACTGCTGTTCGAGCGCAACAGATTGAGCTCGACCTCCACTACCGGTATTACAGTATAGGCCACGTGTGAGTGGTGACGTAGGGTTCGTCACGGGGGGATTGTTCTCCATGTGTCGATCGCTTCTAAAAGTAGGAGCCATTTAAATGTAAATACACTTAAATGTCAACTTTAGGAAACTAATCAGGAAGTAACGTAAACACGTAAGTGCCGGGCAAAAGGCCGCGACAGGACTGCGGTGTCTGGCGAGGCTGCTCTTCTCTGCTGCTCTCTGGTGAGCGGCAGGCGTCAAAACGCAAAGTGTGGAGCAGCCTCCGCCAGAACACCGCTGTACCGCAAAAGTAGATTAGTATACAAATAGCAAATAAGTCAATACTAAACTCTAGATAAATGCACTCTCGTTTGAGTACACCATCTTGGCAGCGCACAGCCAACGATGTCCTTGTGCATACAGTCCTTGGTATAGTCCTTCGCCATTGCACGCATGTGTACTCAGTGTAGCCGGCTGTAGTGCAGCCGCAAGCTGCACTGCCAGGCGCATGAGTGTCCTTGGGATGTGTCTTTGCAGACACTGGCAGTGGACGGTGGCTCGTAGTGGGGGGCACCGGACACTGGCAGACTGCAATGCACTGGCGCTCGACACGCAGGTAAGTTTTATAGCTCACACTCCCACTTGATCTCGGCGACGCACTTGGAAGTCGACGCGATCACACACGCGCATCCTAGTTGCCGCCATAGTCCTAGTAGTAGCGTAGTCGCAGCTCAAAGACAATAGCAGTCCACTCAGTAACAGCACTCCCACTCGATCGCCCTCGTCTTCATCAATGTCGCTCAGGTACAGCCTCCGCATCAACAGCAGTAGTCAACGCAGTAGCAGTAGTCGTAGTTGTAGCCATGTCCTCGGATACGTTGTCGTCGCTCGACACAATAGGTAAGACTTTCATAGCCTTGCGAAAGTGTGTGAGCTTCACCACTGCAAGTGCCTTTGTCATTATATCGGCCACCATATCATCAGTTCCGATGTGTTGGGTTGTAAGTTGCTTCAACTTCACGTGGCGTCTGATCATGTGGTACTTGTTATCGATATGTTTCGATTTCGAATGTCTGCCAGGTTTCGCAGCTAAGGCAATGGCTCCTTGATTGTCTCCCAGTAGTTGAGGTACTGGATGCTTCCAGCTCAACTCCTTGCATAGGCCAGCAAGCCGCAACAAGTCCTTGGTCGCCTCTGCCATTGCTACGTACTCAGCTTCACAGGTACTGAGCGCGTTGATCTCTTGCTTACGAGATGCGTAGGAGATGACGTTGTCGTCCAGCATAGTGATGTAGCCACTGATACTCCGTCGATCCACAGGGTCGTTCGCATAATCAGCATCAGAGTAGCCACTAACTTGCACATCAGTCTGTAGCTTCACATTCATCACTAGTCCGTAGTCACATGTAGCCTTCAGGTAACGCAGCCCCTCTTGGCTTGTGCGAAATGCATATGATCATAGCTCGCAAGATACTTGCCCAGGTGTCGGGTAGCATGAGCTATGTCAGGTCTCGATGCACTAACGAGGTACTGGAGAGCACACACCAGTTCTCTGTAGGGAAGATACTCCTTCGAAGCAGGCACGTCTGTCTTCGAGGGCGTCGTAGCTTCTGGTGTAGCACAGCCATTACAGCTCTCCATATGAAAACGCTTCAACACCTCCAGTACGTACTGCTTCTGGCAGTACACTATTTGCCGGCGCGGCCGGTCAATCAGGATCTCAACGCCTAAGAGATATTTGACTGTGCCCATCGTCGTGAGCTCGAATGTCTCTTGCAGTGAGGCAGCGATTGTGGCACACAGGTCACGTGAACCCATCAGCAGTAGATCGTCCACGTAAACAGTCAGTAGCAACTTGACTTCACCATCCTTCCTCAATGCATATAGGCCGTAGTCAGAGTCCGTCCTAGTAAAGCCCATCGCAACAAGCTTCGCATGAAGCGTGCGATTCCAAACGTTCGGGGCTTGCTTCAGTCCGTACAGGCTCTTCAACAATCTGCAAATGGACCCAGGTCCATCCACCTGGAAGCCAGGAGGCTGCTCCATGAAGATAGTCTCGTCCAAGTCTCCATACAGGAAAGCCGTCTTCACGTCAAATTGCAACACCTCCCAACCTCTTTGTACAGCGTAGTAGATAGCCGCACGTATGGTTTCGAACCGGATCACAGGTGCATAGGTCTCAGAGTAGTTAATCCCAAGTTGTTGTTTGAATCCATGGATCACTAGTCGCGCTTTGAATCGTTTGATTCGTCCACGCTCATCTCGCTTCACAGCAAAGACCCACCTACACGTTATCACCTTCACTTTCTTGGCATCTTTGCGGGGTACAGGTTTCCAGGTCTTATGACCCTTCAACAATTGAAGTTCCACCAACATTGCAGCTCTCCACTGCTGCCAGTACTTGCTTGCACGTGCTTGTTTGTACGTCGTCGGAATCTGCACATCCGTAGTCATAGCCTGCACTAGGCCTACCACGTAATCCGACAATCGAACGTTCGCCTTCTGCTTCCTTCTTGGTCGCTTTAGGCAGGGCTCTCTTGATGGAGGTTGAATCTCGAGGCCACTTGTCTCCTTCTCCACCATTGCAGGTTTCTTCTTTATTCTGCGTCTCTTGCGCTTCCTCACTTCCAAATTTTCCTCGGTTTCTTCAGCAGGATCCTGCAACACGGCTGGTGCTGCAACACCAGCAGTCTCCGCACTGTCCTTGATCACAGGTGCGTCAACGATTGACAAACTCCCACTTGAACTTAACTCAGTTTCTGCAGGTTCGTCAGCAGGTGGTACCGCCTCAAGTGGCTTCTCCGCACTAGAGATGCCGTCACTCCAACCTGGAAGGTACGTTTCCATGTTGGTCTTGATGCGCGCCACAGGTACAGTCTCGAGTAGAGTATGATCACCATCAAAGAATGCGTTCTCTAATAGATGCTTCATGTAGATACCATCGGTCGTGAACTCTTCATGGAACTTCACATTCCCACTACGAGCTGTCACCACTTGAGCTGTCACCAGGTCAATGAACTTGTAGCCTAGGGTCGATCCGCTATAACCCAGTAATAAACACAGTCTTGCCCTTGCTTCCAGCTTTTCTTTCGCTTGTCTTGACTCAGGGGGAACACGCACGTGTGCCAGACAGCCCCAAGTACGCAAATCATCCAGCATGGGCTCCGATTCGTACAGGTTCTGGTGCGGGGACACCAATCCTAAGGGCTTGGTGGGCAACCAGTTCAACGTCGTCACCACATGCAGGAAGGCTTCTCCCCACAAGGAGTTGGGCATGTGTGTAGCCATCAGCATCGCTCTGATCCTTGGTAGAACCACGCCGTTAGCACGCTCCACAATGCCCTTCTCTTGAGGAGAATAGGCGTTCGTAAACTGCTGCTCAATCCCTTGGTCGACGCAGTAGTCACTTAGTTCCTTGCTTGCAAATTCACCTCCTTGGTCGGAGTGTAGTCGTCGCACCTTCTTCACAGGAAAGCGAGTTCGCAGCCTGTTCAGCAGGACCTTGATGTGGAACGTTACTTCACTCTTCTTCTTGAGTAGGAACGGCCACTTGTACCTTGTAGACTCATCTATGATAAAGAGAAACATTGTAGCTCCATCCACAGACTGTTCGTTTACAGAGCAAATGTCCATCATGAGAGTCTCCAGAGGTTCGGACTTCCGCGATGGAATCCGTTTATAAGACATTCGTTTTTGCCTTACTGGCAGCACAAGCAACGCACTCGTAGGAAGTCAGACCTTTTGCATTCATCTTAACTCCAACATCGAGTTTGTTTGCCAACACTTTCACCGTCTCCATGCTCATATGACCAAATCGTTGGTGAAGCAGCTCCATGGCTTTCTTGCTGTCCATGTCCTCTTTTAGAGCCGCCATCACCATTACTCCAGTCACTTTTTCTGCACGTAGTCGGTAGATACTGTCACGCATCATGAACTTGAGTGATGTGCTTGGCTTGGAGATCCAAGCAGTCTGTTGGTCCTCTGAGCATGTCAACTTGAAGTTGCCCTTCGTTTGTAGGTAGCCCAAACTAATGATGTTCACCTTCGCGCTCGGTGTGTACACCACGTCGTCCAGGAGACGGTCCTCGAGCGGGCCAGTTGCCTGGTTAACAACACGCAATAGCACAGACCCACAAACAGAAGTGTGTTCAGTTGTGCCATTCGCAAAGTCAAGTCGACTAGCTTGGTCTTCCCTTATGGTAGTAAACAATGACAGGTCACCACAGACATTTGCCTGGGATCCTGAATCAAGTATCCACTCCACAAACTCAGACTGAGCTGATTGCATACCTTGGTTCTGGTTCACAGCGTTGACTTGACGAGAGTTGGGTGGTCTGTTCTCACGACGGTCTTCAAATCGACGTGGAGACATGTTCCGCCCTTGGAAATTGTCACGTCGAGGTGAAGGTCCTCGTCCTCTCGAAGGATTGTCACGCCACTGCTGCTGCGGAGACGACGGTCCATAGCGACTCAGTCGATCATCGCGCTGGGGTGGCGGCTCATAGCGACTCGGTCTCTCGTTACGCCACTGCTGCTGACGCGGTGGAGATCGATAGCGCCCTGGATTCCCTCTTGGTTCACGTCCTCGCATTGACGGAGAACGGCCTCTTCCTCTTGGTGGAGTTCGTTCTCGATTGAAGAATCGGGGTAGTGAACGACTTCGTCCTCGTCCTTGAATAGGAGGGTCAAAGTGTCCAACATCTTGACTCCAGAGTCCTCTCTCGTACGCACTCTCCAAGTTAGGTCTGTAATCATTGCGCATCCCTGGTTCTTGGCGTCTGTTAAACCCGACATCAGGACCTCGACAGCTATCCCCCGGCACAGCCGAACCCCCTTGTGGTTCAGCTTGATTGCGCCATGGCTCAAGTGTAGGCCCTTTCGAGTTACTCGACAGTCCTTGCCCCAAATAGTAGATGACTGATTCCCACGTAGGCACCAATCCAGCTGTAGACTGATTGCCCTCCCACTGAGTCTGCGCAGTACTCGATACAGTAGGTTGCATGTTTTGCAGTACAGTAGCTTGTACACCCTGTTGAACAGCAGGTTGTCCAGTAGGTTGCACTTCAGGTTGTATCGCAGATTGTATGGCAGTTTGCACAGCTACAGCTGGTGCTTGCAGTGTAGGCAGTGAGGATGATTGTCGTTGTTGTAGTCCTTGTCCTCCAACTTGTATGTGTTGAACAAGAACTCCAAACTTGCAGCTGCAGTCGCTGCGTTGCTTGCGCAACCGACGGTTGAGTGCGTTGCGTACTTGCCCCGCACCCCTTCAACAACACGACGCTCTCCTCCTTCTTCACTTTCCGCAGGAGACGTTAGTGACCATGCAGGTGATTGCGTAGCCGTAGGCGATAAGGCAGCACCATCCGTAAGGTCAATCGCATTCGCATCGCATAGTGATAGGCCAGCAAACAGTCCTTGGCCATCTTCTTCCAACGCTACCGCATCCACACGACGTACGGAGTTCACCAGCGACACGGGAGCCCTTGGTTGTCTCTCTTGCAGCTTTCTCGCGAGCTCTGGCTTCAGTTGCTGGCCAGTGAGAGCCGTACACTCGGCATACCAATGTCCTTCTCCTTGACAGTTCGCGCAGTTTGTGCGCTGCTTCTTATCTGCAACGCCCTTGGATCGCTTGCGCTGTTGCTTGTTGCGCTTGCGTCCTCGGGCTTGACCTTGTCCTTGGTCCGTTCCGACATGAGCAACTTGCATTGAATGCACGACAGGTTGTCTGGTCTGTGCACGCAGCTGGTCACGCTGGTGTTCAGCAGCGCGTAGTCGCTGTAAAGCTTCAGCAAGTGTAAGTGTCTTACGATCATGGTTGTTAAGCCAATCGCCGTGTTCACGGGCGAGATCTTTAAACGCTTCCACGCTGTTCGACAGTAGTAGGCTTGCATGTTGCCACTCAGCAAACTCACCATTAGCTTGATGTAGAAGTGTCACCTTCTTCGCAATGTCGTCAGCATACTGCGATACCGACTCGTTTGGCTTGAGCCGGCGCGTCACTAGCTCTTGCAGTAGGTAATCAGGATTAATGCCATCTCCAGCCTCAAAGTGCTGCGTAATCGCATCGTAGAGCATAGCGGCGGCGTCCATGTTGTCGTGGATGTCGTCGATCTTGAACGTCGTACGTAGGTCAACAGACAGCGACAGCGCATGCGCTGAGAACGCCTTGTTCTTGCGCGACTTGTACCACACGCGATATTTGTCACGACGCATGCCTTCTACTGCATCGTAGCGCTCAGGGCCATAGGTGATGTATCCCAGCATCTTCGGCTCGAAGTGCAACGGCACCTCGCTCTTCCAGGCTTTGTAGTCGCCCTTCAGATGGAGCTTGGGCAGCTTGATCGGAGGCGAGTTGATGAGGACCTTGGTGTACTTAGCCAGCTCGCCGTCGTTGTAGCGGCCAGTAGGGTTCATGTTGTCTAGAGGGCGCCACGGATCGTCGGGGTCTCGGTCGCCGTTTTGTTGGTTTAGCGGCGACGGGGGAGGATTGTCAACTGGCACGGATTCTTCCGTGTTCGTCGACGAAAGTTTATGCATACTTTCGAGTAACATTTGGAATAACGGGCGGCCACCCGGGATTCCAGCCAATGAACGAATTAGTCGTTCTGCATCACTGTGCGACAGTGTTGCGTCATTGTTCAAGCTTGAATTTCCTGCCAATGAGGTTGAAGCTTGATCTTGATTGGTCGAAATTCTAGATCTTGTGTCTGGAACGCCAGCAGCCACGTCAGTCGTAGACTGCGCCCTGATTGGGCTCATAACCAGTGGTGACGTAGGGTTCGTCACGGGGGGATTGTTCTCCATGTGTCGATCGCTTCTAAGAGTAGGAGCCTTTTAAATACACTTAAATGTCAACTTTAGGAAACTAATCAGGAAGTAACGTAAACACGTAAGTGCCGGGCAAAAGGCCGCGACAGGACTGCGGTGTCTGGCGAGGCTGCTCTTCTCTGCTGCTCTCTGGTGAGCGACAGACGTCAAAACGCAAAGTGTGGAGCAGCTTCCGCCAGAACACCGCTGTACCGCAAAAGTAGATTAATATACAAATAGCAAATAAGTCAATACTAAACTCTAGATAAATGCACTCTCGTTTGAGTACACCATCTTGGCAGCGCACAGCCAACGATGTCCTTGTGCATACAGTCCTTGGTATAGTCCTTCGCCATTGCACGCATGTGTACTCAGTGTAGCCGGTTGTAGTGCAGCCGCAAGCTGCACTGCCAGGCGCATAAGTGTCCTTGGGATGTGTCTTTGCAGACACTGGCAGTGGACGGTGGCTCGTAGATGGAGGCACCGGACACTGGCAGACTGCAATGCACTGGCGCTCGACACGCAGGTAAGTTTAATAGCTCACAGTGTGTACATGTATTGCTGTCGATGAGCGAGATCCATAGCTCCGGGCGACCATTTGAAGAGTTATCGCTGAGTTGGCCTCGTCCTGAAACCTTGTTACATGTATCACCCTTCGAAAGGAGGGATGGACTCCTTCGATGGACGCTGGGCAGAAGTACCGGTATCTCATTGTATTGTATCCGATAGAACACATTGTACAGGTATGTACCTGATAATTTTATCATGGGTACAGTTCAGTATTACTGTAGTACAGAATGTTTACCAAAGAGTGTTCGACAACCACCGCTGCCTTGCAAGCTGCAGCATTCGATGCTGGCGGCGATGTCATCGAAGTGCTGCCGCACTATCTCACGGATCCTACGCCGATACCGTGTGCCACATTTTGAGTTAAAATGGAAGCGTCATTCGTCCTTTACGTTTTGTATGAAACTTAAAGAGGCCAGGTCAGAGTGCATTTGTACCGGTAGCTCGTATTTCCGGACGCCTAATCGATGGCGAAGAACGCGATTGATTTCGAACATGTATTTCAGGCCCCGCTTTTGATGAAAGTGGAGGCAAATCTGAGATTACGGTACATCTAAGCATAAACTTGTTGAATGTCCCGCAAACGCAGATCGAGCTATTAATACAAGTACGCGCCTCTGGAGGTGTACGTATTCCCTAGCGAATGGTGAGAGGTGTGTTAGGTAAAAGCAAATTTGAATTGGTGTGGTGCTGAACATGTGTGTGATTTAACCAATGCTACCTGAGACTGATTGCAAAGTATTTAGAACGATGCAACTAAATGTAGCTTGAACATTACTTGAGTATATGACGGGTTACGTTTAATAGTTTTTATGGAGTACTTGTACCGGTATATACTTTAATTTTTATTATAAATATAATACTTTTTGAGGATTAAAAAAAAAAGCGAGTGCAACTTGAAGTTGCTTCTGAATGATGGTCGACCTCGTAATAGTGACATTTATATTCAACTGCTTTCCCGCCAAAACTCCATTTGCTGCTCAACCAGCGCCACCAGCGAAGCGCAGCAAGCAGAGTCACGATCCGTCGTCCATCCAGGTCTCCTTCACTCTCCCCAACAGCCAACATCAGCGCGACGACGACACCGGCAACAATGACCGATTAGCCTTGGAACGCGAGAAGCTCCGGCTTGACCGCGAGCACTTGCAAATGGAGAAGGAAAAACACATGATGCAAAGGGAAAAACACAACATGGAAAGGCAAAAACATAACATTGAACAAAAGATCCGCGAGGTGACAGTAGGCGAAGATCAAGGCGGAGACGGCGCTCGCCAAGGCGTCAGCTGCCGCCTCCAAATTCGATATGTACAAACGGTTGATGAAGTTGGGCCTACCCAGCGATGAACTGGAAAAGACGTATATGGAGTTTCTATCGATTGAAGACGACTTCGCAACAAAAAAAAATGTCACTTTTCTTTGAACCAGTGCTTCAATTTAAAACTAGCAGTTTTTAATACCTTTCCTACTCTCCGCGTGAATATTTTAAGGTTAAATGAAGAGTAGTACTTGTGTGAGATAGGCCACTGCTATTAATACTGTGAGACCGGACGGGGCCGTTGAGAGAACTATTCTTGTGCATCAAAAGAGCGCGTGGGTCTTACCTTCCTGACGCGTTATTGTTGTAAGTGCACTAGGAACAAAAGCGCCATGTCGAGACATTCTTCAGTAGCTAAGGTGGAGGTGCGGCATCTAGGCAACGAAGTCAAGCGTCAACCCAGCGAAAGACACCCGAGACGTTCATGGGCTCAGGGCATTTCGGGACCTGCGGGCCAGTACTTGGTAGGCCGTCGAGCCAAGAAGAAGCTCATGAGGTGGCAAATTTTCAACCTGCTCCGTCGTCTGGTAGTAATCGCTGCTTCCATCCAGTACATCGTTGTCTCTTTGACCGCAACTAGGCGCACGTTTGAAGCTTTAGAAGGTGTCCATAATCCGCCCGAGTCGTTCCGAGTCTTCACTGCGTCACTTATCTCAGGCTACGTGGGGAATGGTCTTATCCGAGACAGCTATCTTGTTCACAAAGTGCTGGAAAACGACACAAGTCCTCGAGATCACGCTGTGTTTCTGGAAGCGAAGAACAAAACCTCGTTCCAGAATTGTTCTGGTTTACCCAAATTTAATCCTAAGATCTACAATTTCGAGTATCTGAGTCACGCGTACATTCAAATGGGAAATGCGGCCAAGCACAACGTCACTCTTTTTAAAGACTTTGAGCTTGTGACAGTGGTAGTGGACTGTAGTTTCACAAACCTCAAGTCAGGGGACAACGCTATGGTTCGGTTCTTCAACTTGGTTCGCTCTCGTGTCGACCCAACAGAACTGTACATGGTCACCATGTCACTCAATGTACAAGACTATGAAATACGCAGCCAAAAGAAGACGGGGCCATGCATTTTGACTATGATTTCGATAGTGAACGACATGGGTGCGGGGCCCCTGGGAGAGTATTATCTTATGGCGCTGACGTATCCGTACAAACGAGCCATGGGGTTTGAAGTGTACGAGTTTATGGGGATAACCATCGACAGCTACCTCGAGCTGCGTACTGTACCGGAAGATCCACTCACACAGCCAGCGAACCGCGTGATCACAGCGAGGAAACGAGGTTTCTACGACGGCCAAGAACAGTCGAATATTCGGTACATGTATACAATGCTCGATACAAACGCGACGACTGCAATGACACGCTGGGAGTGGCTTGGAGAGGCTGTAATTTCAGATTCGTGGGCGTGGGTACACGGACTACACCTAATATTCGGGTTACAGACGATTTTTTCGCTAGTTGTGCTGTGTGTGGTGGCGTTCCAAAATGCCAGATCTGGAAAACTTTGGATCGGTGACCCTTTTGCGTCCGTTTCTACTGCAACTCTTGTCACCCGTGGCGTTCTTGTGGTCATCTCGTGGTATTTGAACTCTTTCTGGATGCTCTTTGAGTTTTGCTTGTCTATCGCTGGCAAAATCTCCAAGACCCAGATCGTACGCGTCCATACCGAGTTGGTACACGCTGATGTTCTAGTCGTCTATCTGAGTCTGGTTGGCCTTCTCAGTTCTTTTTTTCGGGAACGCATAGACCCCTCAGTCGCCATCTTCTTATTTGAAATTATCTTTTCAAATCATGAAACTCTTCTCACCTCGGCAGCAGCAGTCCAAAAGGAGATTGTGACGTACTCGGATAAAGTATTCTACATGGGCGTACCGAAGGTGTCGTCCGCTGTTGCAGCCATGTCCCCACTGCGCTTGTGGAGTGCGTTCCAGATCCCACTAGGTAAAGACGGCACTTTCCTCTTCACGTCGTTCTTCCCGAATGCTATATTACTGTCAATCATCGCAGGGTTCGCTATTTTACATAAAATTTATCGCCATTTCTTCCCGGAAAAGAACCGACAACGGTCCAGTGTGATGAGCACCGAGCGATCGTCTGTTAATGAGAGAACAGCGCAGACGTTGAAAGGAAACCTCACGAATTTCGAGATCTCAACGGGTGCTGAGTTACGAACGCGGTTTGGGATCATCTCTGACTATAACAATTATGTGTACTTTAAAGGCATGAAGTTTGCGTCAGCCGACGGGGTCTACTGCTCCGGGTACGTCATCGTGAATGGCAAAATGCTAGTGGGAGTCAAGGATCTGCTATCGATCGCGTTCATCAAAGCCACTCGTTCTCGGTTTACGAACATCTACGTGTACGAAGTGGAGGGAAATACGGTCAAGGAGACGGCACGACTGGTGTATCCGAATACGTTCTCGTGGTCTGACCTGTGGCATTTAAATGTCGGGGTGCTACTCTGATCACAAAGGACGACACACAAAAAAATGTTTTACAGTAATGGTATACACGTACTTCAAATTATGCTGCTCAAGAAGCTAAATTGTGTTTTTAACAGTAAATAAAAATTTCTCCGACAGCCTTAGAAATAGAAAATGCAACGGAGTGTTCCGTTTCACTACTTGCCAACAATAGCAAGAGATATACCTCCCGTCAAGGCCTTTAGCCGCCCATTTTAGATTTTTCCTTCACTGACAGGAGAGCCACTTGAGGCTGCAATGCCGCCGACGGAAAATGGCAACAGTTTCTGGGGGACGGCAATGTCGAAGGTGCAGGTGAAGGCGCAGAGCAGTGGTGCGTCATCCAGGCGCTCGGTTTGCAGCTTCTTCTTCAGCCGCGAAAAACTATACGTCGTCCAGAACAAACAGCCCCGAAAGACCACAACGCGGAAAGGTCCACAGTCCAGATCGAAGCAAAAGTTCTCCAAGTGGCAGGTGTTCAACAGCGTTCGTCGACTTGTGGTTATTGCTGCTGCGTTCCGGTATCTGTACCTCTCCCTGCTGGCCACTTGGAGGACGATCGACGTTCTGCGATCGCTAACCAATCCAAAGCAGTCTTTCGGTATCCTCACGTCGTCATTGATTGGAGGCTACGTCGGAGACGGTCTCATTCGAGACAGCAGGCTGGTTCGAGACGTACTGAAAGGAGACACAACACCTCGAGACCACGCTCTGTTCCTCGAATCGGACACACAAGTCTCGACCACAAACTGCTCGGATGTGCCACTGTTCAACTCGAATATTTACAACAACGCCTACCTCAACCGTACTTACATGGAAATCGTGCGAGACACCAGCTACAATACGACGATCCTCACAGAGCTCGAGCTCGTCGCCGTGGTCGTAGACTGCAGCTCCACTCAGCTGATGACAGGAGATCCTTCGATTGTTCGGGTTTTCAACGTGGTACGGTCTACTAAAGACCCGACAGACGTGTCCTTAGTGGAGGTATCGCTGTCGGTGCAAGACTTCACCATGTGGTCGTACAAGAAATACGGACCTGCGATTGTGGGCATGGTTACGGTTATCCACGACATGCAGGCAGATATCACTAAGCAGATCTACATGATGGCGCCGACGTATCCGTATCAGCGCTCTATGGAGTTCGAGATTTTCGACTTCATACGGATAACCAACAACAGCTACAGAGAACTGCAAAGCATCCCGAAAGACCCGGAAACAGAGCCAGTAAAGCACCTGGTTACGTCACGGAAACGTGGGTTTTTCGATGGTGATGTCCAGGCCAATATCCACTCCATGTACTCCGTACTGGATAAGACCGACACCAAGAGTGCTCTAGCGAGTTGGGAGTGGTTTGGTGAATCTCAGATCGAAGATACGTGGGCGTGGGTGCATGGGGTTCATCTCGTTTTCGGCGTGCAGACGCTAGATTCGCTACTCGTCTTGTTCCTCGTGTCGTACCAGAACTTTCGAGCCGGTAAAATCTGGATCGGAGACCCCTTTTCGTCCGTGACGACTGCAACGTTTGTGGGTCGTGGACTTCTCGTGGTGCTTTCGTGGTACGTCAACTCGTTCTGGACTCTGTTCGAGTTCGCGATGTCCAATGCTGCAATCTTATCAGGCACCGGAATTGTTCACGTGCACAAAGAATTGGTCCACGCTGATGTTCTGGTCGTGTATCTCGGTCTTGTGGCTTTCGTAAGCTGGTTAGCTCGCGAGCGCATTGATCCTTCGGTGGCTATCTTTATGTTCGAGATTATTCACAAGCATCGCTTGAGCTTCATTGAAATCTCTCCTCCAGTGTTGCATAAGATCGTGACCTACTCGAATAGTATTTTTCAACTTGGTATCGCCCCAAAGACGCCTGCTGTTGCCGAGATGTCTCCACTGTCGTTCTGGCGTACCTTTCAGATTCCGACAAAGGATGGTACCTTTCTGGCGGCATCGTTCTTTCCTAAAATCAGCTTGTTGGGGATGATCGGGTGCTATGCCGTCATGCGCAAGGTATATCGGTATTTCTTCCCGGAAAGAGTTCATCATAGGTCGGGTCAAAGCACGAATGTTTCGGGTAACGAGAAGGCAGCACTTGCGTTGAAAGGGAACTTCACAAACTTTGAGATATCGACGGGTGCAGAACTTCAGACACGCTTCGGTATCATCTCGGACTACAAGAACTACGTGTACTTTAAAGGCATGAAATTCGCATCTGCGGACGGCGTCTATTGCTCCGGGTATGTGATCGTAAACAACAAGTTCCTGGTGGGAACCAAACATTTACTGGCCATTATTATGATGAAACTGGTGCGTGCTCGCTTCACCAATGTCTACACGTACGAAGTGGATGGGAACACTGTCAAAGATACAGCAAGACTGGTGTACCCAGAGACGTTCACGTGGTCCGACTTGTGGCGTCTGAATGTCGGGGTGCTGCTTTAATATCCACAGTTGATCGAACACTTATAGAGTTATGATGCATTTTCGCGTCGTTATCCCAATTAGTTTATACTTTTGAATAATATTGCGTTCAAAATCATTTGTAATTTTGAGCTAAAACGTGCCACGCCAGATAGTCGAACACACACTTATTATTACTAATAGGACATCTTTACCAATATCCTATCAGCAAATCGATTCCCCGTTCACTCTAATTAGTCATGCCACGACGAATTAATGGTTTTTTAAGTTGGAGCACGAAATGTATTGGAATTTACATTAGGTTGCCCGTTTTGTGAGATCTATCTTTCAAATCAAGCAAACTTTAGTACTGGGAATACCTTGGGTACATATCACCGGATTAATTTCACGGTACTGCATATTTTCCATATTCATGAATCATGAATATGGAAAAAAAATACTAGCACAAAAATTGAATATATTCTAACACAAAATTTGAATTCTTGATATTAATATTCATGAACAAACAGCCTATCAAAATCTGTACCTGTATAAATATTGGATTCAATAAACGATTCAAGTGTTGTTAGCTACTGTGTCGTGGTTTAGTGCGCCTTTCTTAGTGTTGAATGTTGCACGAACAATTCGCGGAAACTAATACCTGTCAGAATGGAGTTAATGCAGAATCGTGTTCCGTCAGTGACGGCGGATGACTTTGTATTGCAATTTTTTTGTTTAATGCGGCTAGCGCCGGTAGCACAGATTATAACCTCAAGGTCAGCAGTAATTGCTTCACCTGTTGGCGGGACCCCGAGGTCTCCCATAAAAATGACGGCTTACAGAATTATATATTTCGTTGTGGGCATGCACCACAGCATAAAATTGATCCTTGCGCCACTCCCAATTTCAGAATTTAGCTTAAATCCCATGAAAGAGCTTCCAACAAAGGCCAAGACGTTGGCTGCCATATTGGACACAAATACATCAGCCACAGGGCTTCATTTCCGAGGCATCTAAAAAAAACGAAAACAATCATGCTGACAGAGCGGCATGTAGTCAGTGATTTTCAGTTTCATTTATTGGTCCAAGCAAGAATAGCCTGGGCCTCGGCTTACTTCTACATAATAAGCATGGCTCTAGCTTAGGAAGCTTCTCTCTTCACGTGTTCAGGAGCCAAAATGAAGAGAGCAGATAGCCAAATGAATTTCTGGGGGTCGTCAACGACAAAGATGCAAGTGAAGCCAGAGGAGTGCAGCCCTACGCATTGCTCTCTTCGCTCGACGCTATTTAGTCGCGGAAAGAAATACGCCGTACAAGACGAGTCGACACCAAATCGAACGTTTACGCTGAGGAGTTTCAATTTCCGAAGAACCAAATCAAAGGGAAAGTTTACGAAATGGCAGATGTTCCACCTAATACGTCGCCTTGTGGTGGTCGCAGCTGCTTGTCAGTATATCGAGATTTCTATGCTTGCTACCTGGCGTACGATCGAGGTCTTGCGTTCGACGGCGAGCCCCACCGAGTCTTTCGGAACTCTCACTGCGTCTTTCATTGGCGACTACGTTGGAGACGGTCGTATTTGGGACAGTCGATTAGTACAAAAAACTTTGAATGGAGATACTACACCGCGCAATTATACAATATTTCTTGAGTCGGAAACGAAGATATCTACTGAAAATTGCTCTGAGATTTTTCTCTTCAACCCTGAAATTTACAACTACCATTTCTTGACTCACGGGTACTTGGAGATGGTGCGCGATACCAGCTACAACACCAGCGTCCTGGCGGACCTGGAGCTGGTTGTCGTGGTGGTAGACTGCAGTTTCACAGCGCTTGTGTCCGGAGATCCCTCGGTTGTGCGGATTTTCAACTTGGTTCGGTCACGTCATGACTCGAGCGATCTGTACTTGGTCACCATCTCGTTATCGGTGCAAGACTACGAGATTCCAGATCAAAACAAGAACGGCCCAGCTTTATTAGGCATGCTCTCAGTGGTCAATGACATGCGTGCAGACACTATAGAACAGCTTTATATGGTCGCGCCGACGTATCCATTCCAGCGATCTCTCGAATTCGAGATCTACGACTTTGTAGGTCTAACCAACGACAGCCATCTAGAGCTACGAAGTATCCCACTAGACCCTCTCTCCCAACCCGTATCTACTCTGTTCACGTCTCGGAATCGAGGCTTCTACGATGGTGCAGTCCAGTCGAACACTCACTCCATGTACTCGCTGCTAGATACCGCAGATACCAAGAGTATGTTGGCACACTGGGACTGGTCTGGGGAGACTATAATCGCTGATTCCTGGGCGTGGGTGCACGGGATTCACCTTGTTTTCGGGATGCAGACCGTCTATTCCCTCCTTTTACTGCTCCTCGTGACGTATCAGAACATCCGCACTGGGAAAATCTGGATTGGAGCGCCATTTGCAGCAGTGTCGACTACAACTCTGGTCTCGCGTGGGTTTCTAGTGATGATCTCGTGGTATGTGAACTCGTTCTGGACTTTGTACGAGTTTGCGCTATCTAATGCTGCAAAGTTATCCGGACACGAAAGTGTCCACGTCCACAAAGAGCTCGTTCACGCTGACGTCCTCGTCGTTTATCTGGGTATTGTAGCGTTTCTAAGCTGGATTATTCGTGAACGGATTGACCCTGCTATTGCAATATTTCTGTTTGAAATCATTCACAAGCACAGGCTCAGCTTCATCAAGATATCGCCGCCCATTCTAAACAAGATTATAACGTACTCGGACAGCGTCTTTCAGCTCGGTAAAGCTCAAGTGTCGTCGAGTGCTAATGACCTGTCGCCGTTAGATTTCTGGTCCACGTTCCAGATTCCTAAAAAAGACGGTACTTTTCTGGCAGCGTCATTTTTCCCGAAGATCAGCTTATTAGGGCTCATCGTATGCTACGCTCTGTTACGCAAACTCTATCGACATTTCTATCCGGAACCCATTCATCAAAGCTTTTCGAGTCAAAGCAAGAACCAGTCGGCGAATGAGAAGACAGCGCTGACACTTAAAGGCACGCTAACCAAATTTGAGATCTCGACTGGTGCCGAACTTCAGACCCGCTTTGGGGTTATTTCCGACTATAAGAACTATGTCTATTTTAAAGGGATGAAGTTCGCGTCTGCAGATGGAGTGTACTGCTCCGGGTATGTTATTGTACATGGTAAATTTCTGGTAAAGTCGAAGGATCTTTTGGCCATTGCGATGATCAAACTCGTCCGCGCTCGCTTCACGAATGTATACGTGTATGAAGTGGAAGGCAACACGGTCAAGGAGACAGCCAGACTTGTATACCCGGTAACTTTTGCATGGTCGGATTTGTGGCGACTCAATGTTACAGTGTTGCTGTAAGTAAAGAAAAAAAGTGTAGAATGAGATGATATCGACCGGTGTATTTGTTGCTTAGAACTAACATGTTTCATAACCTTCGCGGACCTAGCTGGGCCATGATGATCGTTAGCTTGTGACGCGACAAACTGCTTCGCCAGCGCTTCCTTCTTGGCAGTCGACGACTCGTCGGATTCATGGCTCGAAGGTGGCGAGGCGGACCAGCTGCAGATAACGGAGTGGAGACATCACTACAGAAGGCACAACAAGACGGCAGACTGGCTGGCAAATTACGCAATGGATACTAACCGGAGCGTGGTATATGGAGCTAGCGGGGAAGTGCAGGAGCACGAGCTGCGCCAAACGGCGGAACAATTGATCGCAGGCGACTGCGAGCAGTGGCGAAGCGAGAGGGACAGTAAAGACTAGCAAGAACAAGCACAAGAAACAGCAAAGAGGCAGCAAGTACCAAGAAGGATGGGTACAATCTGGCCGAGCACTACATGCCGGGCGGAAAGGGGTATTAGAGTTTAGATTGGTAACACAATACACCTCACTTATTATCATGTAATAGTTGCTGTCCAGCTGACCGGCAGCACAATTACAGCCGCAGACCACTCCAGCAAAGTTGATCTTGGTTCGCTGAACAACGTTGGACTTTCAGCGAGGGAGACACGCTCGCTCGCTCAAGATCCCCGTAACAAACTACTGCGAGTCAACGATGCCGCTCCGAACGAAGAACGCTATCTGAAAGCTTCACCACTCACCATGTTGAGCGAGAAAGTTAAAACCACCAGGAGCATGAAAAAAATACTTGCGATGGCGCACAAGACGTCGGGCGCGTTTAAGAAGATCCCTGGAATGACAAAGGCCAAGCAAACCCTTTTGCTCAACAAGTTTACGAGGATGGCAAAGAAGGGGGTGCATCCCGACAAAGCGCGGAAGGCCAATATGTTCAAAAACAACGACGAATTCGCCATGTACCAAGTGGTCTACAACACCGTCCGGCGCAAAAAGCCTAGTGCTTGATTCAACAAGTCTACGCTCTAGAGCAGAAACAGCAAGCAAATGTTATCGTTCTTTGTGTGTGAGTTCTTGTATCTTTCGCAGCGAACTTGTTTTACTATTTTGAACACAGAGGCTTGACAGAGCTATACATGTAAATACACTTCATCTACAAGCTCCAGTCTCTAAAGGTCTTCCCGCAAGGTGATGAAGCACCTGTCTACCGAGCCCAGTCTGTACGTTCATGACGGAACTGTGGAGTGATCACTTTCACTCGTCACCGATGGCTCTGGTCTGTATTCCCAGCGCACGCTGCGAGTCGAATGCAAAGGGTAGGGGGTTGATCTAATTTTTTTATGAGCGACAACAAATACGTCGACAATGGAGACCCGGCCCGAAAAGAAGCTGTAAGAGTTTCACTCAATACAGAAGACCTTTCTTTTTCGCCGACTCACTAAATACCATATATTAAGCTTAGACCTGTAATGAAAAATGAGAACTAAACTCTCTGTATTTTATACCAGGTCATCCTTTATTTAGCCTTTGAGTGTGTACCCTAGAAGCTAAATTTGTCCTCCATCACCTTCAAAAAAATAATCTTCAGACCAGGTGTCTCAAGAAGTACCATGTATCGAGTGATTCCGAGCTCCGTATCAAGCCCTAATGCTCAGGTTATCCGCCGTACTTTTGGCGGCCATGACACGCTTTCTCGTCATCACTACACCACCCTTTGGATATTCATGGCGTTACTTCACGCGTTGTGCTCGACATTCTTGATCTGTTCCGCTAAACTCTATTGGCTCCTGGAGAACGATTACATCGACTACTTTGCAGGACTCCTAGCTCCAGAACGAGATCGACATTTCCGCGTCGTCGGCACTGTGCTCGGCATGCTAGGGGCAATCCACGGACTACAGTTGCTCTGTCACGTCAGAGCTTCGGCAGCCGCTGGAGAAATACGCGTTCGACCGTTAAATCTGGGATCAGCTATTGAAACATTCTTGAAACGCGTTGTGAACAAAGTTATGTTTCGTTAAAAAAAATTTCGACATGCTGGGAAGCGAACAGGAGTATCAAATAGGTCACGCGAGTTCGATCATCCCAACGAGCATTACACTCGAATGTTTGCGCTTCGTAAGACTGTGGAGATCGCTACGCAAGCCCCAAACGGATATTTGCATAGCACACTAGTGGCGAGATCGTGGATTAATCACGCAAAAGTGGCGCTGATAGTGACAAACTGCTGGTCTGCTTTCATCATCCACCAAATGCTGCTGAAAAGTGACCCGGGCATTCGGCAGGTTGCTCCTTCCTCACCAAGGTCACGGATATCCGTACGCTTCTTAGCAGTCACAGTGGACGCAGTGCTCGCGACGGCGACGGCTATCATACTACCCGGCGCAATCTTTCTACCTTATGCTTTACAGTTCGACATTACGAGCCTCAGTTTTCCTGTGACGCTGCTCTATGGAGACACCTCATTCCCCAATCTGGTGCTAGAGAATCGAGCGTTTTTCTTCATGTCCTGGACGAATTCCATGATGAAAACTGTACCTCATCTGAGTGTGTTTCTATGCCTGGAAGCCATGGCCTCCGTGCTTCATGCCTCAGATCTACCCACAACGAGACCTCCGTCTCCTCCGAAATCTCCCAAGATCCGACAGAGTATCAAGCGATCTACCATCGCGCTGGCATCGTACCGTGCATTTCTGCGAGCATCAGAGAGCGAGCAACACTCAGCACAGATTTTGTCTCGAGTGCATCGCGTGACTGTCCCAATGCTCTTGTTAATTACTGGAGGCATCGTACTTGGTCTGCATCTGACAGCACAGTACGGATCTGTAACTGAAGACATCGCAACAATGGAGAGTATGTGCATACAGCGTATGCATCCGTGGTTTGCCTCCAATTTCAGTTGTTCAGTGGTGAGATACAATTGTTACAAAGAGGGCGTAACAAGTCCTTCTGAAGAAGTATTAGGCTGGCTGGAACGTGAAGCAGTACGCAAGATCATATTCATGCATTGTTCCGCGTTTACGATGCCACCAATCATCCGCGAGTTCTCCTCTCTAATGGGTGTGGAGCTATGGAACACTATGTACACTAGTAGAATGGGGAGAGGACGCTGCAGTGTCGGCGGATTTGCACCCAATGATGCTCTTTGCACTCTTCATATACGTCAACCTGACGGGTATCCCATCTGGACTTCTACAAGCTCCGCTCCCCATCCAACTAACAGATCTGGAATTTATTCACACCAATCTCACAACAATTTCTGACTCCGTTGTGGAACCTTGGAACGGGTTGGAGATTCTGTTCATTGAGCACTCCAAGATACGCACCTTTCCCAGTGTACTCATGCAACTCCCACTTCTGAGCGATCTCTCTCTTATCGACAACGAGATAGAAACAATACCTGACGATGCGTTTCTAAACGAAGCCTCGACTTATTTCTACAGTGTGGCCTTGTCGAAGAACCCATTAAGGAATTGCCTCAAGTTCCAAACATAAAGTTTGACATTTCGTACTTGGCGCTGGAGTTTACTCAGCTAATTGAGTTACCAAAGTGGATTAAATCCAATGTTTGGGATGTGGTATCGTTGGGTGGCTCTCCGCTGTGTCAAAGTAAAAACACCATGAAGCTCTCCGGAGATATTTTATGTGGAGAAGATGAGAACGCTTGGGACCCGCTTGGAGACGAGCGCTATCCGATAAAGCTCGTTGAGCCATTTCGATCGTTAGACGCATAGTCATCTTTTAAAAAACCCAGTGGAATAAGACCCATAATTCCATCGATCATGTGACAATATAGTCTTGTGTCCAGCATTTGATAGCCAGGGAAGTCAGTCACCACGCCTCTCACAGCCCATGGGATGCAACTTCATCTTGTGCGATCTTACGCAGAAGTTCCACAGTGGCGAGTCCTGTGGATAAAATGGTATCGCACCACTCGGTGGAATGCTGACCGTCGTACAGGGCCAACACTTGTGCGACGTTATCATTAGCACTCGCGAGACTTTTGTGCAGTTCCTTTATGGTCGGGGCCCTCTCCTCCTGTACAGACGTCGAGTGCTCTTCACTTAACTGTACTTTCTTGCTAGTCGCTACTTCAGCTTCGTCAGCTAATCTCACCGCCTGGTCGGTTAGTCTGCACAAGTTACTGGCTATACATGTCACCCGCCAGTCATCGTACATACACTCTGAATTCGTCTCGGATGCTAAAGACTTGGACAATCTTAACCGACCACACTGACCCACCATCGCGGCATGAATCTCGGCTATACGCTCCGTCTCAGACTGTTTAGAAACATCACCACTCTGCTCTTCCGTGTCTGCCACCTTCTCTTGAGTAATGACACCTCTCAAGGTTCCAGTAGTCGGACGTCGGAAGCCTTGTGAAGGGGGTAGAGCCGCTCTCGCTCGTCGAATCTCCTTCAGTTCGACAGACTCCACGTCCGTCACGTCTTCACTTTGCTCCAAGGCAGTAACGTCAGCCACGTCATCCCGTGAGCCTTCAGCATAATCCTCTAAGCTTTCGTCCGGCATTTCCGACTCCAAATCCCTTCTCTTGTCCTCACACAGCTCCAGTGAAGTCCACCACTCAGTGGGGCGTTTTCTGCGGTCCATCCAGCGAGCCAGCGTCATCTTATAGACCAGATCCACCACTGCTCCTAAGCTGCCTTTAATTCTCCTCTCCAGAGCGCCAATGTCCTCGATTCGCATGGATTTAAACCTCAAAGTGCCGAGTCCAGACGCTCGCCACACGCAGTCTACATCACGCAAACAGTCTCCGATCTCCGCTAGCACGTCACGTCGTGGTATTCGTCGACTGTGTTTCCTACCGAACGAGAATTGCGGTAAGAAATCCTGATACCGCTCTCGACGCTCGAAACCGAGCAACACTCGTCCACTTTCTCTCCATGTATCCAGGTACACTAACAGCTCGGGTGTCCACTCGTAACTTTCCTTAAGTAAATGATCCTCTGAAGTAACACTATCGCGTTTTAGCTTCAATTGAGCTCTCAACTCGACGTCGTCACGGAGAATTCCACTCGTCGCCTGTTCTGAAATGATTGCAGCATTTACATTCGACGCGTCACACTGCATGGCCACTGAGTATATATGTAATATCAACAAGTGGAAATGACGCGCAGCTCTTCGCGCGAACGACAGCGTCACGCGCAGCTGGTTCCACCCGTATCGTGTCCTCACGAACGCGTCTCGTTTGTTCCGAAGCGCCGCCGATCTCTTGTTTAGCGCTCGGAAATGCGGCGTCATGCTCGCTGTGATGGCTGTAAGCTTCTCCGACGCTGTGACTGTCCACTGTTCGTTTAAATGCGATGGCGGGGGCTGGTACAGTACTTGTAGGTAAAAGAATGGGTTCGTCTCCTTCAGCGTCTTCATGACGCTGTGCATCGCTCGTTTCAGTGGCTTTGTCTCCTCTTTTCCGTCCGCTGCAGCGTCGTAGAGTCTCCACAGAATCATTGGCACCCATTGGTGTCTTCCTGGGAGCTCTTGGTGCTCTTTAAGGAGCCGTCGACGCTCCGCTACGATGGAAGTTGCCCTTTTCAGGAGATGAGGCAGTCTTTTGACCATTTTTTGGGTACGTTGGGCCATTGTGTTCTTGCGGCTGGTAATTTGGATTAGCAATTTGTCCGTGCGTTTGCCTAGATTCATAATTTTTGGTTTCTCCACGTTTTCTCCGTCCATTTCGGCGCCGAAAAGAGTCTGGAAATGGGTCATTTGCGCCACTGCGACGTGTATTCGACTGAGTTCGTCGGCTTTAGACTGTTGCGACTTATACCGTTTCCATTGGAGCTGTAGAGAGCGTTCAAGTGAGCTGAAAGAGTCGCGTACGTCCGCACACTGGTGAAGCTTTCGAGCCATTATGCGTTGAGCTGATGCGTCGCTCTCGCGCTTCCTGAAGAGAAAATAAAGCGTATTAGAGTGTCAGATCAAAGAGGGGAGTGCTGAGAGTGTAGCGAAGGCAGATTTACCGCTTTTTATGGCGCGTGGGCGGCGTTGGTGCCTGCATCTTGGTGTGGAGTCTGGCCGCTAATTTAGTTTCCTGCAGCACCAAATTTAAATGCTTGTGTGGCGGTGCTAATTTCGGTCTATCGACCACCACTCTAGATCGAATATAACGTCTTTCTTTGAACGGCGGTATGTGATACCGATATTTTACGCTACACTGTAGCATATCGAAGCGTACCGGTATTAGAAGCCTTTGGGCATGTTTCTAACATATTAGCAAGGGTGTACATTGGATTGGGCTGCCCATTTCTGTTTTTTAGATGCCCAATTTGGGCATCTAAAAAACAGAAATGTCGAAATTCTTATTGCTGCTTAGCGAAACAAGTCAAGCTATTTATACGAGACGAGATGAATCTTGCTGGCGTCCATGTTGAGGCTGGTCGGAGGAAATTTCAAAGTGAGAGTGAACACTCGAGGGCACGTGGGAGCGTCATCGACCACCCGACGAGATCCATAGTCGCTGAAAAGGATAGTTTTTTTTGCGATTGTGCTTTGCTGTACTTTGAACGAGGGAGAATTATTTTGCCTAGTGCTGATGCAAAAATAATCCTTGCTCCTCGATTCCATGCTCGACAACGAAGTCTGCGTCACAAGCTGTTTCTTGTGGGAAGGTCTGACGTTGCTGACGGGAGTAGCGATACGGAGAAACTAAAGTTCATTTATTCTCTCAAACTTGAATACCATAGGATTGATCGGACGACAGTGGTTGCATAGCGGAAAATGCCATGCTTCAAGACCACAAAGTCTCCCAAAAATCTGTCCATCTACTCACGTATATATTTCGCTGCGGCCATGCACCGACAGATCCACTGGAGCCTTGCGCTACTCCCCAATATTCAGAATCTACCTTAATTCCAAGAGAGAGCTTCCAACAGATGCCCAGACCTTGGTTGCCTATCTGGACACTAATACCATCAGCACAGGGTTTCCTATTCAGAGGCAGCTAAAG